CGGTCCCTGTGCTTTGCTAAGCTTGTTCTAAGTAGGTGCTTTAGACCACTGAGCCATCTCACCAGCCCCTCAACCCCTTTCTTAATATTTATCTATTTATTTATTTTAGCAGAACCAGGAATTGAACTCAGGTCCTTGCGCTTGCCAGGAAGTGCTTATTCCACTGAGCTATCTCCCCAGGCCCCCCTTTTTAAAATTTTGAGACAGGATCTCCCCAGGTGGCCTAGGTGGGTCTTAAACTTGCAATTCTCATGCCTCAGCCTCCCAAAGTGCCAGGACTATAGGTGCATGCCACCATATCAGCATGGCTCATCTTTTAGATAGTTTTTCTAGCACATAGGATGCGGCCACTCAAGCCCCATCTGTGGCTCCAAGGGCTGTGCTCATCCCCCGACCCTGTGTAGTCTCATCCTGCCCAGTGCTGGGCACCACACCCTGACACATGGCCCCAGCTCCTCACCTCCCTGGCATATTCCTCCTGATCAGTCTTCACAGGGATGATCGCGACTTGGAACGGGGATAGCCACAGGGGCCTGGTTAGGGAGGAACAGGGCAGCACGTTTAGTATCTTGGCAGGGGGGCAGAAGTGTGGCTTCAGGGAGCAAGTGTGAGAAGGCAGCAGCTGCATGTAAAGGGGACAGGACTGCAGCAGGACTATTCCTTTTGGGGGCCAGAGGAAAAATGGAGCATCGGGGTCTCACCATTTCCCCCCACAGCTTTCAGCCAGTATTCCCAGCAGCCTCTCCACAGAGCCCAGCACTGCCCGGTGGATGAGGACGGGATGCTCCAGGCCCCCCGCCTGCCTGTGGAGAAGAGAGCAAGATGGCAGTGTGGTGAAGTGCTATCACTGCACCCAGCGTCCTCTTCCTTCCAGTTTTTGAGAACTAAGCAGCCCTTGCCAGGGAGGGTGTGGAGGACTTCGTTCAGTGCTTAGGGTCAAACACAGAGGGAGCTGCTTAGCCATCACATGGGCTGTCAAGGGAAAAGGGGACAGGGAAGTCTGTACCCCTTATATTGGAGGTTGAATCTCAGGGGCAGCTGGAAGTCCAACTGGATCGTCCCACACTGATGGGGCCGACCCAGGGCATCCCGGAGGTCCACATCAATCTGGAGGAAAAAGATGGAAGATGTGAGCGAGACCAGACCCAGCTGCCCTACTGCCTCCCCGCATCCCCAACATGTGCAGCTGCATCACCCAGGGTCCTGTACCTCTCCCTGCCACACCCACTCTGGCAGTGGCACCTTGCGCTAGGAGCAATGTGAAAACACAGGGGATGTGCATGCTCCAGCCCCTCAATTCCATGTGTTCCTCACCCGACTACACAGCCAGCTGAACTCTTTATCCTGTCACCTCCCCGCAGGGCTAATGCAGCATTCTTCCTCTTTTAGGTGACAGTCATTCCTACTCCTGGCTCTTCAGATTTGCTTAGCTGTTCTCTCACCCCGCCCCTCAGCCGGCCCTCCACTATTTCCTTGTCCAGGTGGCTGTGGCTGTGGCCCAGGCCCCTCACTGCCCTTCCTTCACATCTGTGCTGCTACACCCCACCCCGTAGCACCTTGGCCTCTCACTCCTTCTCAGCACAGAGAAGCTCAGTGCTGCCCACCCTGTGACCTACCACACAGAGGCCAAAGCACAGCCGCACAGCCCGACTGGCTGCACTATGGTGAGCACTGCTGGAGGCTGGCTGGCCCCAGCTGTGCCCGTAACCCTTTGGCTGCCCTAACCAGCCTCACCCATGTTCTCCTTAGGCTTTTTTTTTTTAATGTATTTACAGGGTCCACAGAGTCTCACTCCGTGATTACAGAATCTCAACTGCCTCTCAGCTCACTCCCGGGGGCGGGACCTGCACGGTATGCTGGGGATGGAACCCCAGTCCCTGCGCTCAGCCTAGCAGGCGCTTTAGTCAGCTAACCTATCTGGCTGGCCCTCCCCGGGAACTTTTAAGCCTTTTTTTTCTGTGACAGTATCTTGGTAAACAGTTTATTACAATGATTTAACGTGGTACTTTTTTTGACAATCTCTTTTAAGCTTTATTGGTACATTTTATTTTTTTTTAATATTTATTTTTATTTATTACATTTATTTA